CTACACTTATCATATTTATGCATATCAAGTTTTAAATTTCATAGTAAAAAGAAAGATCAGAATGAAAAGTACTATACTAATTGAGTTAAGATGATAGCGCTACAACTAAGGATGAGAATAAACTTGCAGCCAGTTGTAAACATTTCAGATTGTGAAATATGTTAAGTATGTAATACAATTTGCTAATTTTATTTATATGAATAAATGAGCTTAAAATTATGGTGGTGGGGACGGGAGACAGAAGAGGTGGCAGGGCATTTGCCAAGCACAGCTGACCTGGGTTTGACCCCTAATACCACATATGGTCCTCTAGCCTCACTAGGAGTGACAACTATGTGCAGGTACATGTATAAGTCATGAACAGCACTAGATGTGCCCCCTACACCCACCCTCCAAGCCCCCTCCCCCCCAAAAAAAACTAAGAAAAAGAAGAATAGACCATGTTGGTAATACCTCTAACAATAATTAAGTTGCATAAAAAGTTTGTAAAATATTAACTTTTTAAAGTATGAATTAAATGTAGCTAGTCTGAGGACTGGAGAGAGAGTGTAGGCATAAAATTGCTTTGCATCTGGCAGACCTTGGTTTGATCCCCAGTATCCAAAATGATCCCACAAATACTTTCGAGAAAGGTCCTTCTGCACAGAGCCAGGAGAAGACTGGAGTATTGTTGGTGGTGTGCCCAAAACCTTTACTCCCAATTAAAATAAAATTATAAAATTATAAATGAAAAAAACTAAGTAGTTGCTAGGTTATAACAAATAGATTGTTTTGCTAAATATAGCTAAAGATTGTTATGAGAGAGGGCTCAAAAGAGATACAACTGTGGCAAAATGAAGTTTAGTGATTTTTTTACCTCTAATTTTCAAAATTAACTTATAAGTATTTTGATCAAGTATTATTATGCTGTGCCTTTAACAAAACAATTGTATTTGAATCATAAGATCTTTGAAGGCCAAGGTTCTCCTTATTTCTCACAGAATCCCAGAACTAAACAGCATTTCTGGCATATTCAATCAGTAACTTATTCAATATTCAATCTACTTTAATCAAATCAGCTACAAATTAGTGAAAGTTCCTAAATATTAGACTGTGGAAAAGTTTATGGTTGTATGTACATTATATTTATTTAATTTTAGAATTTTAAAAGGAAAATTTAAATCAGTAAATGATATCCCTATATGAGTATTCCCTGTATATAACTGCTCATTTCACCTTAACATAAAACTTACTTCACTGCACTGCTGTACTTGGGGCACATGCAGAAAATGCATAATTACCAGATTTTTCTGTATGAAGTAAATATAAGTAAAATAATTGTGCTAAGATCAGTATTATAGAAACTTAAAAAAGGATTATAGAGCCATAATACAGTGGTGAAGGCATTTATCTTGCATGTGGCACAACCAGATTTGATCCCCAGGACACCGTATGGTCCCCTGAGCCTGCCAGGAGTGTTTACTGAAATCAGCTACGAATAAGCCCTGAGAACCATGGGATTGGGTCCCAAACCAAATGAAAAAATAAGGGCTACACAGTGGTCAAGATGATTTTAATCATACCCTAATACCTAATTAAAGTGCTTACATGAGAATAGGGATAATGTGTCAAGTGTCAAAGCACAGGCATCATAACAATTTCAGTTTCTTTGTAGATCTTTCTAAAATTTTATACAGATGTATTTGACATATATTTCCTTAGATACTGGACAAGTAAAATTGGGAGATTCAGAAATTAAAATCACCAAGAGCCATATGACTCAGTCCTTGATCTTGAAGGACTAGATAATACAAAACTGACTTTATAATACAAGAAACAGGATGGTGTCAAAGTGGTCTTCTTTCTAATACTTGTATTAGTACATTGGTTTTCATGTATTTTGAAAGGCAAGAAAATTGTTTTTTCAGGAAGAAAAAACTTTATTCACAGTATTACTTCAAGTTGCAATCAAAATGAGGTCACTTTTTTCCCATTTGAAATTATCATTTTCTTTTTCTTATTATCCCTTAAAAAATTAATTGAAGACAAAATAATTTTAAGCCGTAAAATCAGAATATTTTGAGGTAAAAGGATATTGGAATTGGCAATATTTACATTTACCATGATACAGTGCGCTTGATAAATATAATTATTTTGAGAAAATTGGGCTAAATATTTTTAAGCATTATATGCATTATTTTCTCTTGAAAATAGTATGAGGACATGTTATTGTTATTGATATTTCACATAATAAGAATTTATGACAAAGTGATTATTTGAGTAAGGGAATGCAATGATTTAAATGATAGAGAACTTTCATTTGTTTTATTATAGAAATAATTATGGGCATGTTAAACTGTTTCCTTTATATCCCACCTTAAATGACTTAAGATCTGATCTAAGAACAGAAATTGCAGATAATATTGTCATTTACACTTGTAATTTTGTGTTTACTGATGCTGAGCACAGAATCTTGTAGGCATGAGTTTATCTTTTTACACTTTTTGTCATTTCATAGAAAGATTTCAAAGTCGGTATAATTTCTGTTTGATAGAGGATGAGGCAGAGGGTAACAGCAATCTTATTCTACAATTGTTCAGTCATACAACTAGTAAAAGTTGGTGTTTGGGTCTATCTCAGGTTTGTTTAATTTTGTTACCTTTTATCAGGAACTACATAGATTAAATAGAAAGTCAAGAATAGGAGAAGGATTATCAAGTTCAGCAGATTATAGAATATCATACAGAGCCTTAATAATCTTCCATAATTAATACTCCTTTGACATGTGTATAGTTTTATCTGTAAAGGACTTAGAAGGTATATGATAATTCACATATTAAATGTGTACACAGTATTATTGGGGTCAGAGTGATAGTACAGCAAGTAGGGTATTTGCTTTGGACATATCCAACCTGTGTTCTATCCCAGGCACACCATATGGCCCCCTAAACTTTCCAGAAATGGTCTGTGAACTCAGCCAGAAGTAAGCCCTGAGCATTGCTGACTGTGGCACTAAAACAAAAAATAATACAATCTATTACTTATAATAATACAAGATTAATAATATAGGCTTATCCTTATAATGATATTGAATCTGTATAGAAAAACAGGCTCTTATTAAACCCTAGGTCAATAAACTTATGGAATATGTATAAAATCACTACCACTATCACTATCACCCCGTTGTTCATCGATTCGCTTGAGCGGGCACCAGTAACATCTCCATTCGTCCCTGTCATGTTCAGGTGTAGCCCTATGGCATATTTGGGGCTCTTTCAGGGTCAGGGGATTGAGGACCATCATTGTTACTGTTTTTGTGTTATCGAGTACCCCATGGGTAGCTTGCCTGTGGGAGGGATGCTCTCAGAAGCTTGCTGGGCTCTCCAAGAGGGATGGAGGCTTTGGGAGCAGCCTCTAATCACCTTTATAGGTGTTCCCAGACAGGCATACATGCGGGCAAGATACTCTTGGTAACCTGCCGGGTTCTCTGAGAGTGAGAACTATACAATAAGAGGTCATGCGGCCACATTTGCTTCCGGGAGTTTGGTTTTATAGTCTCTGGATCCTGGCCGTTGATGGGGTTACATGGCAGTTGGTGGGTGTAACTGTCTAGTGACTGGAAGATGGGGGATCTGGGTGGAGGAGGCCCAGTCCCAATTCGAGCAGGATTGGAGATCTCAGCCCTGGGTCCCGTACACCTGGGTTCCTCTGCCAGTTCCTTCATGCGTGAGGCTCATCCTATCATGTGGAGAGTGGTCTCAGCATGGCTGTGGCTGGGTCCCGGAAGTCTTCAGCTGTATAAATGTATAAAATATAGATATATAATCTGAGAAATATATAAAATTGTTTTTCTGGGTCCAGAGAAATAATCCAGGGATTACGGCATTCACCTTGCATATGACTGACTCTAGTTTAATCCCCAACACACCATATGTTCTCCTGAGCATCAGCACAGAGCTGAGCACCAGTCTGTATCGCTCTAAGAAACAAAACAAAAGATCATTACCTTTCTGCCAAATATATTCAATTCTATTGCATTGAGAACTAAGTAAAGTAAAGTAAAGGCCCTCCCGTTGATCGTCGATTTGCTCGAGCGGGCCCAGTAACTTCTCCATTGGAGACTTTGTTGTTACTGTGTCTGGCATATCAAATACTCTCGGTAGCTTGCCGGGCTCTCCGAGAGGGGTGGAGGAATCGAACTCGGGTCGGCCATGTTGGCCGCGTGTAAGGCGAACACCCTACCCACTGTGCTATCGCTCCAGCATTGAGAACTAATTAAAGAATTTTAGTATCTTGTTTTTTTTTTTGCTGATTGCATTACATACTAAGAAAATGTGTGATTTCCTGGATTATAGGGTTTTTTGTTATTTAAATGCACACGTTTCACTCTTTATACTGCTCTCTATAATCACACCACTATTTCATTGTTTACAGTTTTTTTTTCAATAAACTATTAAGAAACTCCTCAAACTTAAAAAAAAAGGATAACTGAAACTTTTAAATGTAAGGGTTTTCGCCTTGTTAGTATTTCTACTCTATCTATTGGTTTTGTGTCTAATCAAGTAACTAAGAATGGTTGGTATTCACATTATGAAGGTTTCTTTTCTTGGTTTCATTTGGTTTGCTTTGGCCTCCCACACAGTGCTCAAGAGTCTGGCAGTGATACTGACCCTGCTGTGTGGGCCTGGCAGTTCAGGCCAGGACCTGCTGTAGGCGAGGCTTACAAAGAGCAGTGAGGGTGCCATCAGGGCCACCCTGGCAGTGCTTGGTTCCCTGTGGTGCCAGGTATTGAAATTGGTACTCCTGCATGTAAAGAATCAACTCTGGGCCTTCGAATTTTCTCCCTGATCTGGTATTATAAGTTTGTAAGAATAGCATCAATGGCATCATCACTAGTTTCAGTGTTTTATAGCACGTGTATTATCTTTTTTTATGTACTGTGATAAAAAAAAATATGTAGCTTTTCAGAGAAGGAATTAAGCAGCACTGAAATTTTGTCACATCTTTTTCTTATTCTCTAGATCCGACTGTGCGTCTAGCAATATTCAAAAACAATGAAAACAAAGTTTCTCTTATAAAGTCACCAAAGAAAGCCCAGTCCATCAAAGACAGTCACTTGGAAGGTATGGCTAATCACATAGATAGAATTGGTAAATAAGATAAAGTTGGTAAATTGTTTAAACAAAAATTTTACATATTTAGTAGTTACTAAATATATTTATAAAATTATGTTAGAAATATTTAAAAATAAAAATCATGACATGACTCCTGGAATTAAAATACCAAGTCAGCGTATCGGTTAGAGTATTTTTATATTTTATGAAAGTTTTTATGGAAAAGTTATAATGCTATTTATTGCTTGTTGTTAATTTAGATTCCTTACTGACATATTAGCCTATATAAGTAAGTATTCACATGTTGAAATGGTACTCTGTTATATTTATTGTATTGCAAATATATATAAACTCATTCATTGCATATTTAACTTTGAAATTTTGAATATTTTATAATATGTAAAGTTTGCACTTGACCTACATATCAGACTATTTTTTGATTTAAAAAACATTCAAAATCATTGTCAGATTATTAATTTTTTATTTTTATTTTATTTTTATAAAGTTGTTCACAATAATTTATTACATTTAATAGTCAAACACCAATCCCAACACTATGCACCTTCCCACCAACATAAGAGGAAATTGTGTGAAGATTGTTGTATTTCATCCTGGAGTCATTTAAACCCTTGTATAAGACATTACCATCATGTATGTTAAACCCAAACAAATGTGTGCTACTTTTGGTACATCAGTGGGCTAAAGTATGAGAGGTTGCAAATTCTGAAATTTAGAATATGATTATAGAACAGATTCACTCATGGGTAAGGCCTATGTCGCTCTCTTCTTGGCTGTTGATGAGGTTATATGGTACTGGGGACAGTTTGTGGTGTCACTGCCAAGCCACTGGAAAACTTGGGAGCTGGGGGAGGGAGCCCAAGGCGGGCTCTCAGTGAGCTTGGAGATTTCACTCATGGGTCCCACATACCTGGGTTTTTCTGCAGGTTCTCTTGTGAAAACTGTTCTCACAGTGTTCTCGTCCAAGCTTGTGTAGAGATGCCAGCATGTTCTTAACAAAAATTTTTAAGTGCTGCAAAAATCACTTTAAAGTTATTGTTTTATCTTTAATAGTGATTTGCTTATGGTTCTGCCATACTTCTGGTTTATAATATCTAGAATGAAACAATAGAGTCAAATATATCTTAAAGGGACTAGGAGACACCTCAAATGGTAGAATAGTTGCCTAGTATGTATAAAGATCTGACTTGACCCCCGGTATCTCTTTGATCACCAGAGCAGCACTTGATGCAATCCACGTGCCTGGATGTACTTATCTAAATACCACTTAGCTCAAGCAACAAAACTGTCTGACCCACACCAGGTCGAGAATTGCTAGGAGTGGGCCTGAGATGTAATGAGCGCTAGTCAATGCATTCCTTAAGTTCTAGAAAGCAAATATGTCAGAAACAGAGTGTTCTAAGTTGATTATTTAAACAGATCTTACCATGTGATTCTTAAATATTTATAATAGAACAGAAATATTAAAGAGTCATACTTTTTCACTGAATCCTTCTGCTAAAAAATTTTTATTTTTATTTTATTTAACCGAGGCATCATATTTACAGTGGGATTAGCAGTTGCGGTTTAGACAGAAAAAGTTACTGCACCACACCCAGCACTAGAGTGCCAGTATCCTTCACTGCTGTCTCTAGGCCATTTTTATCTATCATCCACTCCCTGGGAAGACTCAGGTTTTGTTTTCTTTGGTCTCTGGCTATTCCCATGCTATTTTACTTTATATTTCACATATGTGTGAGATCGTCTCATATTTGTTCTTATCTTTTTGACTCAATCCAATAGAACATTCTGTGAAGTTCGTGCTTTCTTTAAACTTCATTTTAGTATGTGGAAAAGGAGATTCGGGATCTAGAGAAAAACAAATAAAGCAAATGTGGTGATTTTTTTGGGTCTTTTTGTTGTTGTTGTTTTTTGTTTGTTTGTTTGTTTAATTTTGTTTGGGGACTATTCCCAGCAGTACCCAGGGCTTACCTCTGACTCTGCTCTCAGGGATCATGCCCAGTGATCTTGGGGCACCGTATGTAATGCCAAGGATTTAATCTGGGTTGGCTATATGCAAGGCAAGCATGCTATAGCCTGCACTATCTCTCAGGCCCAAAAAGTTTTGAAATTTTGTGGTCAATAAGATAAAAGAATATCTATCTATAATATATGAAAGTAGTCTTCTGTGTACGTTGGATATTCTATTTTACAATTCAATTTTTTTCATCTTTAAAATTTTACATGGTGAAAATTATAAGATTTTGTGGATATCAAAGGTATAAAAATATTAACTTAAAGTTATGGATTGCTATTTAAATAGAATTAAAATATTTGAACTATAAAAATAAATGAATCTGGGTGCATTTCCTTGTTATCATTTTAACTTTGCTGTTTCATTATTCATAAATGAATGTGTTTCACAGTTAATAGAAACTCCACAAACAATACTTATTAAATAGGAGCACAGTTATTTTAAAAGGGAATATCTTTTTTTGGAGGGCAGGGACCCACATACCTGGCAGTGATCAAGGATCACTCCTGTTGGGTATTAAACCCAGATTGGCTGTGTGCAAGGCAAGCATCCTATCTGTTGTACTGTCAAATGGGTGAATACCTAGGAAAAGAGAAGTCTAGAGTTCTGTTTCCCTTTACATAGCATTTACCTCAGAATCAGAGGCAATAAATCTCTCCTAACAGTTTATATTTTATTTTCTATAAAGGTGGAATATATGTTACCATCAGGAATAATATGTGATCATGAATATAGCCCAGTGATAAAGAATGTGTTCACAAGGTTCTGGGTTTGATCCTTGCTTACCTTCTTAAAGAATAGTATTTGCTTGAGCGGGCCCAGTAACATCTCCATTGGAGACTTTGTTGTTACTGTGTTTGGCATATCGAATACTCTCGGTAGCTTGTCGGGCTCTCCAAGAGGGGTGGAGGAATCGAACTCGGGTCAGCCATGTTGGCTGCTTGTAAGGCGAACGCCCTACCGCTGTGCTATCTATGCATGTTTTATGTGTGTTTATTGATTTTTGTACTAATATATTAGAAGTAGTTAACATATGATGTGGTGTATGCTTGTGTTTTGTGTTCCCTATAAAAAGATTTATCTTTTTTGCATTTGTACCCTATAGTGTAATTGGTATTCATTTATTTTACTGAGTTGTTTTCTGTGTACATTAGATATTCTAGTAACTAAAAGTTGTATTAAGGCTTTTTATTATAGAATTGGATGGAGAGACTGTCAGGAAAAATTATAGATGGCAACCTTTTTCAAGTATGTTTAATCTCTTCCCCCTTTTTAAGGGGAAAAGATTAAAGAAAGTAAATTTTATCATTTAATTTTGAGCCCTATGATTTTTTCTTTTCCCCTTCGTTGTCCATTAGTGCTTCTTTCTAAAATTTTATTCAGCACCATGACTTACAAAAGCATACATATATGGGTCTTAGACATGCGTAGTTCCAGCACCACCACCCCTACCCCCCCACACACAAACACACTGTCAACTTCCCTCTAGAGATGTTCACAGGTTTCCTCCTCCACCCATTCCTGACTCCTAGCCTGCCATTATGAGAGGCATCTTTTTTGGTTTGGTTTTAAAGTTTGAGTCTTATGATTTCAGTGTTGTTGACTTTATGCTTTGGATACTTAACTCTCATTCATTTACATCAATCTTGTATCAACCTATACCCTATCCTCTTGCTCCCTATTGGTTCTTATCTGTCTCTCCCTCCCCCGCAGTACCCCACCCACGATTTGATTCCTTTTTTTTAAATGTAGGATTACTGCTATTTATTCAGCCATTGATTAAGCTGATTAAATTGGGCATGAACTTCACATTACCTTTTTTTTTAATTAAATCAACGTGAGATACAGTTAGAAAGCTTTCATTTTCGAGACTCAGCCGTACGATGATCGAACCCCCATCCCTCCACAGTGCACACCATCCACTACCAGTGTCCCCGGTATATCACCCCATACCCAAACAGAGTCCTCATCCTGTTCCATAGCAGGCAATATCTCCAATACTCTCTCTCTATTTTGGGGGATTATGTTTTGCTCGAATTTTCCCACCACCATTCAAGCTGCCTGCCCGGGGCAGATGCTAGATCACTTATTGTCCATTGCTCATTTAGAATATCCTGGATGCCTCGGCCACATGCTTCTGGAATCCTAGATTGTAAATGGTTGGGTTCCAGAGACATTTCTGTAGGGCACCAATCCATTTTGGGATTCAACTGGGTGTCATTGTACCATGGTGGTTGGTATGCTAAAATGGTGCCCAGAGGCACATTGTGGGCGTGACAGAAAGGTGAGCAGGCAGGGAGCTGGGGAGGGACAGCTAGTGCCTCTGCCGTCATGCCACATGGAGATTTAATCCTGGAACCCACGTACCTGGGCCTTGCTTGTGGAAGTTCTTGGTTCCCAGGATTCCATTTGGAGTATGTGGGGGAGACTGCATCTGCCCCATCTTGGGTGCTCTGGTGAAAATGGCCTGGTATGGGGCCTGGAAAAATCTCCAGTTCTGTTGTGTCTTACAGGATTTGCTGCTGAGTCTCTGGCTTTTAATCTTTCTTGAGATTTATTTATGGATCTCTGAGGCAAGACCAGTTATAGAGTTTACAGGCTGGCACTGGAGTTGGTTTGTGGGGGTGACTGCAGTGCTTCCATGTGTATTGGGAAGTGGGGGAAGGTAGCCTACCCCAACTCTGTGAAAACCTGGAGATTTCAGTCACAAAACATGCATACCCAAAATTTTAACAGCTTATATCTTGGTGAGATCTGTCCTGAGACAGTGGAGTCAGGCCGGGAGTATGGCGGCGATTTTGGATTGTGGAAGCAAGCCTATGCTGGGGGGTTCTGCTTGGGCAGGCACAGGCCAACCTGCCCCCCTCCGATTTACACCAGTCTGTTCATCCATGCTTGGGTCCGAGATTAACTGTGTCTTTTGGTCTCTTTCTATGGGATTTATCTATGGGTCTCTGAAATAAGGCCAGTAAATGAG